ACAAGAGCAAAATTGCATCTCAATAATAATAATAATAAAATAATCATTAGGTCAAAAGTAGTAGTATGCACATGTTATGTAGAAATATGGCGGTAAATACAAGAAGAAAGAGCAAACGGTTTGCAAGTGATTGCTTCTGGGGCGTTGGGAGGGCTGGGAAGGAGCTTGTTGTCTTTTGTAACATCTCTTTTAGCATTACCTGATTTTTTTTTTTTTTTTTTTTGAGACAAAGTCTCACTCTGTTGCCCAGGCTGGAGTACAATGGCATGATCTCAGCTCACTGTAACCTCTGCCTCTCAGGTTCAAGCAATTCTCCGGCCTCAGCCTCCCAAGTAGCTGGGATCACAGGCATGTACCACCACGCCCGGCTAATTTTTTGTATTTTTAGTAGAGATGGGGTTTCACCATGTTAGCCAGGGTGGTCTCAATCTCCTGACCTTGTGATCCACCTGCCTCGGCCTCCCAAAGTGCTGGGATTACAGCCATGAGCCACTGCACCCTGTCAGCACTACTTGATTTTTATAATGACTGTATATATAGCAATTTCATAAAAAGAGTTAACCAATGCCCTCCATAAATTATATGCTATAGAAATGTGAAAATTGAGAGAAATACAAAAACATAAAAATTACCTTACTCAGAAACATGTGGCGTATAGTATTTCCTTCTATTCTGTCTATAAATCATGCCTTCACTTACCTGTCTTCTTAATTTATATGGTTAAGGTTAAATTGTATTTATAGTTTTATATCTTTTTTCTATATAATCTTGTATATTACCATGTCATTACTATGATTTTTATTATTAGTCCTATTTATATCCCATCACAGGTGTGACAGAATGTAACTGGTTCTTTGTTTTGGACTTTTACGGATGTTTTATTTTTCTGTAGCATATGAAGTACTTCAATAGTTATTTTTGTGCATAATGTTTTATTATGTCCAAAACCTGTGAGTTTTACCTTCAGTGAAATTCCTAGAAGTGGAATTTTTTATTCAGATAGTATGAATGTTTTCATGACATTTTCTTTTCTTCCTTCATTTTATCGTATTTTACTTTTATTTTTTACATAATTCTAAATTACACTCAGGAAATATTGGTATACCAATTTATAGTATTGTTACTGATCATGGAATCTTAGGCTCTCATGCAATGGAAATTGACACGAGGCAGAGAAAGTTTCCCAGACAAGGCTTTATTGGGCTTATGCTGGAGGAGGGTGGCAGCACAGGGGCAAGAGTTCCTGGGCTGGCCCTCGGGACAGGTGGTTCCTGGTTTTTAGGGTGACATGAATAGTCATGAGGTGTGTCAGTGGCCTTACACACCCTAGTGGCAGGCACCATGAAACATGTTAGCACAGATGTGTCATGATCTGGGCATGGCAGATGAGCCCTTGGGGAGAGCATTTTAGTAATAGCATGAGGCAAGAGGTCAGGATCATCATTCTCCTGGTCCTGTGTGCATGTGGGCATCAGGGTTAACTCCCTGGGGTAAGATTTGGGGTGGAATGTGGCTTATCTTGTTTTCTTCCCTGGTGTGCGTGGTTTCACAGTGGGCAGGTGTGATGGCATAGGGTAGGTATGGAAAATACAGAAGTGCATGTGGGCCAAGCCCTGTTCCTGGTGTCTCCTTATTACTTGCATGATATGAGAAGGATTGCTCATCTTTGTTAGTATTGGTGTGAATGGTTTTTGTAATTGCAAAGTTCATGGTTTGAAAAGGTGTCTTTAATGTACACCATTGCTTTCTGGGAAGGCTGTGTACCATTGTGATGAAGAAAGTGAATTGCAGAGCCGTGCAGTCCTGGCTTCCAGGCCTCACTTTGCCACTTGTAGCCATGGGTCCTCTGGGACAAGATACAAAGAGCTAAGAAAAGTTTAAGAGTCCTTCAGCATTTGAGGGGAAATGTGTGCTGATGGTAGAATAGTCTTGGACAGGGTTGGGGAAGCACGTGGGACTTTTCTCTGGCCAGCTGACCTTATACTTACCTCTGTTTTTTTCTTTTTTTGAGACAGAGTTTCACTATTGTTACCCTGGCTGGAGTGCAGTGGTGAGATGTCGGCTCACTGCTTCTCTGCCTCCTGGTTTCAAGTGATTCTGCTGCCTCAGCCTCTTGAGTAGCTGGGACTATAGGCACGTGCCACCACACCTGACTAATTTTTGTATTTTTTTAGTAGAGACGGGGTTTCACCATGTTGGCCAGGCTGGTCTTGAACTCCTGACCTCAGATGATCTGCCCACCTCGGCCTCCCAAAGTGCTGGGATTACAGGCGTGAGCCACCGTGCCCTGCCTACTTCTGTCTTTTTTTTTTTGGTTCATGGAGGAGCCGTCTCCACGTGGGCTGAGCCTTCTTGGGGACAAAGTCAGAAGTCATGTCCCCAAGCCAGGGAAGACCCCATGTGTCAGGGTGTCCACTGGCTTTGAGTCCTGATACGCAGGCTTCACAGGCTGTGCTTCTTGCTCTGGGGCACCTCCTCTTTTCTTATTCTTAACCTAGGAGTCTCCCTGTTTTACCAATTGTTTCTCAAGTTGATAAGCGGGCAGCTCTTGTGATCTAGAATCCAAAGAACCAAAAATAGGCCTAATTTTGCTTCAGTTCCGTATAATGGCTACTTTCTGTTTCTCTTGATGTTCCCAAGGCTCTGCAGAATCCTGGAGTTATTTGTCGTCAAAGACTCCCTTATATCCAGAATAATTTTAGTAATATGTACAGTCTGTTGTCCCTTAATTAGAAATGAGTAATCTTAAAATATGTTTGGAAAGGCTTGGCAAACTGGGAGTGCCCAGTGCCCCAAGTGCTCTCCGTAATGAATAAAGAAGAATGTGGGCCAGGCACAGTGGCTCAAGCCTGTAATCCCAGCACTTTGGGAGGCTGAGGTGGGCGGATCATGAGGTCAAGAGATCGAGACCATCCTGGCCCACATGGTGAAAGCCCATCTCTACTAAAAATACAAAAAAATTAGTTGGGCATGGTGTCACACGCCTGTAGTCCCAGCTACCCAGGAGGCTGAGGCAGGAGAATTGCTTGAACCTGGGAGGCAGAGGTTGCAGTGAGCTTAGGTTTTGCCACTGCACTCCAGCCTGGCGCCTGGTGACAAAGCGAGACTCTGTCTCAAAAAAAAAAAAAAAAAAAAAAAAAAAAAAATTTGAAAACGAAATATTTAAAGAAGGACAGCAAACGAGGCTATTAGTTATCGTCTTGCTTTCCCGGGGCTGCTGTAATAAACACCTGGGGATTTATGGTAAACAGCATGTGTTTATTCTCTCATAGTTCTGAGGCTGGAGGTTGAAAACGGGTTCCATGGGGCCAGGCTCCTCCGGAGGCTCCTCTTTGCTGTTCCAGCCACTGCAGCTGCAGTCCTTGCGTTCCCTGGCTTCATCGTCAGAGCCAGTGGAGGGGCATTTTGCTTTATTCTTTGCATTGCTTTTTCCCATGAGATCTCTACGGGCCTTCCTCTTAGAAGGATACCTGTGATTACATGTAGGGTCAACTTGAACAATCCAGGATAATCTCCCGTCTTAAGAGCCTGAATTCAATCACGCTGCACTGTCCCTTTTGCCATGTAAGGGAGCATTCGCAGGTCCCAGGGATTAGGACCCGGGTATCTTTGGGGCATTTGTTCAGTCAACCCCAGCTATGAATGTAAAGGCATGCATGATGGAGAACGGGTTAATTCAGCGTCTCTTCACAGGGTCTTCAGTAGGCACCTCCTAACCTCTCCCATCTGCTCCAGGAAGTATCTGCTCCTGCTTCTCCCCTTCCTTGTTCTGTGGGTTCCCACCCGCTGCTCAAGTGAGTCACTGGGACTGACTGAGAATGCTGGCATTCTCCAACTAGGCCAAATTCACTGGGTAAACATTTGTGAACTGTGTCAGAGCAGGCAGGCCCTGCATCCCCGCATCCCCTCCTTCCCAGCCTGCCTGCTGGTGGGGCCCTGACCTGCCCCTGTCCTCTCACTTGCTTCTGCAGATTCTTCTTCTTAAGCAGTGGCCCAGACAGGGTATCGGCCTGCGCTTCCAGGGCAGTGGCTTCTTAGATTCACTTCTGTGAATTTCACCTTCCCTGAAGTGCCGTGGGATGTTGACGGTCGGTCTCTCTAAGGTCTTGGTGCGCTTTCATGTGATTCTGTGACTCCAGCTGGCCTGAAGACACCCCAGCTCCCCTGCCCCGACTATCCAGCTGTATTCCTTCTCTGGACCCTGCTGGGGCTGCCACACACCCTGCACGCCAGGGCTAGAGAGACGTGTGCAGCCTGACCCTACCCCGGAGCCTGTCTCTAAAGGTGGAGATGGGCACGCACCCACAGCCTGGGAGACAAGGTGGTGTCCTGAGTGCTCTGTGAGTTCAGGAGCAGGAAGGCCTGGCTTGTGGTAGCAGGAGGTCCCCAAGCGTGATCTAAGATTGGGGTTTTGCCACCTGCAGGGATTTCATAGAAGGAGATCCGAGGGTCAAAAGGCATTTGAAAGGCTTTCACACATCTTTGTATGTGGCTTGATGTATCATCTTTTATTTTAAGGCTCTTGCTGCCCTGAAATGGGTTCTCTCTCATTATAAAAACATTTGGCCATCTTTTCTTGTGTAACTGTCAATGAATTTATCATCTTGAATATTTTTCAAATTAAAACACAGTACATTTAAGCCCACAAAACACACCAAAGAATACACACATAGAAGCAAAAGCCAACACCCCTTCTGTAACTCTGCCCCAAGGAAGCGACTCCAGGAAAGGGTGCCTCCTCCCACAGTTTCTCCTGTGGCGGGCACATGTGCAGGAAGGAGTCCTCACAAAGCAGGACTGCGTTATGCATAGAACTCTTTCGATTTCCATACTTAACGTTAGAAACACACAAAATAATTAGGAGAGTCCCAAAAAGACATACCCAGAGTTCTGTGTGTGTCCTGCTTGCTCTCTGAGCCACAGTGTCAGTGGTAAGGAGTGTGAAGCGCGGTTGTGTGGAAGCTATGCTTACGTGATACTGATTTTAAATCTTGTTCCAGGTCTGCCGTCATGGATCTTCTCGCAGAAGCAAATGGCACCTTTGCCTTAAACCTTTTGAAAACGCTGGGTGAAGGCAACTCGAAGAATGTGTTTTTCTCACCCATGAGCATGGCCTCTGCCCTGGCCATGGTCTACATGGGGGCACAGGGAAACACTGCCGTGCAGATGGCCCAGGTACGGCTTCAGGACAGCTGCAGATGCTATGAACTTCCAAGTGAGCTGGTCCTCCGAATTCCAGATCCCACAGGGATTGCTCTAGATGGATAACTGTGCAGATCGCAGGGTGTGGGTGGAGAGTTGACAGGGAAGGGGATGCCGCCCATACCAGAGCACCCTGGGACAGCACCCTGACCCGTCAGGCTGGAGGGGCGGCGCTGGATTCAGAGGAACGAATGATTTCATCATCACATGGCTTAGCCTGTTCATGAGTTTGTAGACGGTTGTAAAGTCACAAGGTTCAGGTTGAGTCCTTTGATGATCTTTTTGGGTACTGTCGCCTGCCTTTTGATTGTTTGGAGTCTTCATTTCCTCATTTAGATGTAAAACCTCCTTAGAACGGCATCTGTCAGCTGAACATGTTTTCAGTAGTGCTCCAGTTCTTCGTTGCTGCATAACTGGCACTCCCAGCTTAGCAGCTTTCCTGGTTGTTGAATCTGGGTGGATCAAGTGGTGCCTCTGCTCCACTTGGTGCTGGCTGGGTTCCTTGTGGGGCTGCTTCAACAGTGGCTCAGCAGGGTGCTGGGGCGTCTTCCCGGTGGCCTTCTCCACTGGGGCCCTCTACACGCCTCCTTCGCGGGGTGCCTGGGCTCCCGTAGTCCAGGCCGCTGGGTTCCGAGAGGAAGTGCTCCCAGAAGACGGGCTTGAAGCAAGTGCCTATCAAGCCTCCATGTGTGTCCTGAGCAAGGGTATGCACACTGGAGACATGGCTCGGCGGGGCCACCCATGGCTGCTGTGGTCTGCCCTCTGGACTTCGTGGTTCCCTGGAAGTCCGAGAGCCAGGTGTGGGCAGGGTCGGGTTCTCCTGCAGTCTCTCTCCTCGGCTTGTAGACACTGTTTTCTCCCTGTGTCCCCACATGGTCATCATCCCTCTGTGTGTCTGTGCCCTCATCTCCTATTTTTATTTTTATTTTTTGAGATGGAGTCTCACTCTGTCGCCTAGGCTGAAGTATAATGGCACGATCTCAGCTCACTGCAACCTCCGCCTTCCGGGTTCAAGCAATTCTCTGCCTCAGCCTACCAAATAGTTGGGACTACAGGTGCCCGCTACCACACCCAGCTAATTTTTGTATTTTTAGTAGAGACGGGGTTTCACCATGTTGGCCAGGCTGGTCTTGAACTCCTGACGTTATGATCTGCCTGCATTGGCCTCCAAGAGTGCTGGGATTACAGGCGTGAATCAACACACCTAGCCTCATCTCCTCCTTTTATTTATTTATTTATTTTTATTTTATTTATTTTATTTTTTTTTTGAGACAGAGTCTTCCTCTGTTGCCAGGCTGGAGTGCAGTGGTGCAATCTCGGCCCACTACAACCTCTGCCTCTTGGGTTCAAGCTATTCTTCTGCCTCAGCCTCCTGAGTAGCTGGGACCACAGGCACATGCCACCATGCCCGGCTAATTTTTGTATTTTTAGTAGAGACGGGGTTTCACCATGTTGGCCAGGATGGTCTTGATCTCTTGACCTTGTGATCTGCCCGTCTCAGCCTACCAAAGTGCTGGGATTACAGGCATGAGCCACCACACCCGGCCCTCCTCTTTTTATAAGGACACAAATCCTAATGGATTAAAGCCCAACCTAATGGCCTCATGTTACCTTAATCACCCCTGTACAGGCCCTCTCTCCAAATACAGTTCCATTCTGAGACACTGGAGTTGGGACTTCAGTGTGTAAATTTTGGGGGACACATCCAGCCCATCACAGGAGGTGTGGGAGGCCCGTGGGCATCACTGAACAGTGGCAATTCCCAAGCCCAGCCAGGTGCGTGTTGTCCACCCCTCAGCCCTGGGTGAAGGGCGTTCCTTGATGAGCCTCCACTGCAGCTTCCCAGAATTGTCCCTTGTCCACTGCTGCCCTGGCCGTGCCCTGCCGCCGTGTCCCGGTGTCGCTCTCAGCAGCTCCTTTCCTGTTCTGTAAGAAATGGCCCATGCTTGCAGTGCTCCCAGCCTACCTCCCATCTGTAGAATGTGGGTGCCCAGAGACCTCCCTGCACTTTGAGCTGCCTATCCCTTTTAGTCCAAGCTGTTACAAGTACCTGAAAATCACTGTGGGATTTCTATCAACTTAAAATCTGCTTCCCTGGAAAAGCCACCCCCCACCATCCCCCCCACCACCACCACTTGAGTGCTCTGTGTTGGGTTGGGAGTCAGGGTGCTGTGGCAGAGCCTGCCAGAGAGTAAGGTGCTCCTGAATCTTCTAAGGTTTAACAAGTGGATTTTGACCTCACCCTTGAGGCCAGTGTGGGATTTGATCTTTGCCCAGAGGCCATTTCTTTTAGAATCTTTTGCTAGCTGGAGAGGCTGGGGAGAGGAAATATTTTTATTTTCCACCCAGCACATACTGGGTTGGAAATAGTTCCTTGAAATTCTGCTTGAAAATGGAACAGTTCCTTCTTCCTGTGTGATATCCTAGGCAGCAAAAAGAAGCTGTGTTCCCCTGGAGCCCTTAGCCAGATGCAGGAGTTCACGGGGAGAGGCACCACCCTCCCTGTCACTGCAGGTGACCTTCTCTCCACTTCTTCAGCTTCTATACACACAGCCCCCTTTCTGCATTCCCCAGGAGTCATTTCGTCCTGTCCATCCAGTGTCTGCCAGCTGCCTGGGGCCGAGGCCAGGGTCACATGTGTTAGGTTTTGGTCATGGCAGAACTCCACTTCCGGATGGCTGCGTGTGTCATCTATTGCCACAAAACAAACCATCCCAAACTTAGTGGCTGGAAATAACAGTGATTGATTATTCCTCGGATTCTGTGGCCTGACCAGGCAGGCCTGGTCCCAGGAAGCAGTGCGGGTCACTCATGCAGCTGTTTCAGTGGACAGCTGGCCTGGAAGGTTCCAGAAGGCCTCTCTTATATCTGAGGCCTTGATTCTTCAAGCAACTCTCCCCACAGGTGGTGGCACTTCCTCCAGGGCTTTCCATGTGGCCTTCAGCAGGATAGCTTGGACTTCCTTCCATCATGGTGTCCAGGGTACCAGAGAGTGAATGTGGCAGCTGCCAGGCCTTTTAAAAAGGACCTAGGCCTGGAGCAGCATGCTTCTACTGAATTCTACCTACTATATCATTAGTTAGAGCCAGTGACAGGGCCAGCCCAGACCCACAGGCAGGAGGGAACCTGCCCTTCTGACATCAGGAGCCGCCTGCATTTACATAGACGGGAGGTCTGGTTCACACCCTGGTTTGCCACCAAACTCCAAGTACTGAGCATCAGAAGTCTGGGTTTGTGGAGGGCACTGCAGCTCACGCCAGCACTGACAGGGCACAGGGAGGGGCTTTCAAGACCCTTCTGGCCTTTAATTGGATGGATCTTTTAAGCAGTAGTAAGAGTCTGCACCGTTGTTAGGCTGACTTTGGGGTTGCTCCATTTCCTGAAGTCAGAGCATACAGATGTGATGTGTTTTCATTCTCTTTTTGATTTCAGGTACTTTCTTTAAATAAAAGTGGTGGTGGCGGAGACGTCCACCAGGGCTTCCAGTCCCTTCTCACCGAAGTGAACAAGCCTGGCACCCAGTACCTGCTTAGGACGGCCAACAGGCTCTTTGGGGAAAAGTCCTGTGACTTCCTCTCAGTAAGTCATACTTGTTACTCACTAACGAAATGAAGGTGGCCAGGTGGAGGGGGCTGTGGTCCAGCAGGAAGCTTGTGGCTCTGAATGCCATTATGCCACATGTAGGCTTTTGTAGTTTGTTTCTTTTTACCTGCCGATACGTTGGATCTACTTTATGCTTTTCAACTGTCTTATCAACATCTTGACAGGCAGCTCCTTGATACGTGGCTGCTCCCTTAAAGGACCCAGTGGTTGGTGAAGTTTGTTGGATATTCAGAGCCTGATTCAACTTAGTTTTTTTTTTTCTTTTTGAGACAGAGTCTCGCTCTCACCCAGGCTGGAGTGCAGTGGCGTGATCTCAGCTCACTGCAACCTCTGCCTCCTGGGTTCAGGTGATTCTCCTGCCTCGGCCTCCCAAGTAGCTGGGATTACAGGTGTGTGCCACCACACCTGGCTAATTTTTGTATTTTTAGTTGAGACAGGCTTTTGCCATGTTGGCCAGGCTGGTCTCGAACTCCTGACTGCATGTGATCCACCCACCTTAGCCTCCCAAAGCGCTGGGATTACAGGTGTGAGCCACAGCACCTGACCTGGACTTAGTTTTTAAGCTAGGATTAAATGTAGGTAAAGCTAGGAAGTTGGATTTTAGATTAAGTCCTCATATTTATTTGTAAATTACATGTCAATTATAAAATTATAGATTTTCTGATTTGGTTCAGTGAAGAAATAGGCCGTTGGTGTTCACCATTTTTGTAGTTATGTCCCTCTGTCTGTCCTAGTCTTTTAGGGATTCCTGCCAAAAATTCTACCAAGCGGAGATGGAGGAGCTTGACTTTATCAGCGCCGCAGAGAATTCCAGAAAACATATAAACACCTGGGTAGCTGAAAAGACAGAAGGTAAAAAAATATTGTTATTCTACTTGTCATAGCATCTTAATCCATTTTATTGTCAGTTCCTTCACAAGACTGTCAGTTGTAAACAGGAATGACGTTTTTTTCTCTAACTGCAAACTTTAAAAATCTGCTTCTGAAATCAGTTGCCATTAATTGACGTTTTGGAAGTGCTTAGTGTGTGCTGGTCTCTGGCTTCTTCCTGCGCTCTTCAGTGTACCTGTGACTGATGTCTTTCAGTGTTTGGTACATCTCTTCTGGACCAGTCCACATTTTAATTTTGAGGAGGGGGTTAATGTGCATATAGTCTTTCCTTTCAAAAATAACATAAAAAATCCATAGCGTGGATCTCAAGCCGTCTCCCTCTTCAGTAGTTCATGGTCTACGGTTTTCATGCATTGCAGCGGGACACTGGGTCATGCCCTAGTCTACCTGTGGTTCTTAATTTTAACTTTTTTTTTTCTTAGAGACAGGGTGTCCCTCTGTCACCCAGGCTGGAGTGCAGTGGCAATCACAGCTCACTGCAGCAATTCTTTGGCTCAAGTGGTCCTCCTGATTCAGCCTCCCAAGTAACTGGGACTGCAGGTAGCATCACCATGTCCAGCTAATTTTATTTTATTTCATTTTAATTTTTCAGATGGAGTCTCGCTGTGTTGCCAAGGCTGCAGTACAATGGAGCAATTTCAGCTCACTGCAACCTCTGCCCCCTGGGTTCAAGCGATTCCCCTGCCTTAGCCTCATGAGTAGCTGGTGTTACAGGCATGTGTCACCACGTCCAGATAATTTTTGTAGTTTTAATAAAGATGGGGTTTCACCATGTTGGCCAGGCTGGTCTTGAATTCCTGACCTTGTGATCCACATACCTTGGCCTCCTAAAGTGCTGGGATTACAGGCGTGAGCCACTGCTCCTGGCCAATTTTTTTTTTCTTTTCCTTAGGGACAGGGTCTCACTGGGTTGCCCAGGCTGGTCTCCAACCCCTGGCCTCAAGTGATCCTCACACCTCAGCCTCCCAAAGTGCTGGGATTGCAGGTGTGAGCCACTGTGACTGGCCTAACCTGTACTTTAAGCTTGTAAAGAACATCTCTTGGCTGCTCATCTTTTTTTTTTTTTTTTTTTTGAGACGGAGTTTCGCTCTTGTTACCCAGGCTGGAGTGCAATGGCGCAATCTTGCCTCACTGCAGCCTCCGCCTCCTGGGTTCAGGCAATTCTCCTGCCTCAGCCTCCTGAGTAGTTGGAATTACAGGCACATGCCACCATGCCCAGCTAATTTTTTGTATTTTTAGTAGAGACAGGGTTTCACCATGTTGACCAGGATGGTCTCGATCTCTTGACCTCGTGATCCACCCGCCTCGGCCTCCCAAAGTACTGGGATTACAGGCGTGAGCCACCGCGCCCGGCCTCTGCTCATCTTTTTGGCAATCCTTTAAGTTCTGTCTTTAAGTCATAGGCTCCCACCACTCCTTCCTATCTCCTGTGTTATGAACTTCTCCTGCATAATTAACATGTACTTGTTCACTTGTGTGTTTTATTCAAATGATGATATTTTTCTTACCAGAAGTTTTTGCCGCTTTGCTTAAAGGACACAAATCCCTTCTATTGGGAGGACAGTGGAAGTCTCTATCTGTGCACTTGACTGGTGAAGCAGAAGGCCCCGCCGATTCCTGATGTGTCAGGGATCAGCAGCCGCCCCTATCTAACGCGGTCTTTAATTCTTCCTCTCAGGTAAAATTGCCGAGCTGCTCTCCCCGGGCACAGTGGATTCACTGACAAAGCTGGTTCTGGTGAATGCCATCTACTTCAAAGGAAACTGGGATAAACAATTCCCCAAGGAGGACACCGAGGAGAGACCGTTTAAAGTCAGCAAGGCGAGTAAGACGCCGTGGCAGAGGCGATTCTCAGAGCAGCGCCCGTGTTCACACGAGCGCCCGCAGCCGTGGGCGTTTCTGACCCTGCCCCGCCTGCTTCCTGTCAGTCGGGTGGCCCCGTGCCCCTGGGCTCCGGGCATCCGCTCTGCCACCTACAGGGCAAGTTTGAAGGTGCAGCCTTCAGGCTCGATCAAGGTCTCAAAGTTCAGACTCGAGATACGGTGTGCCAACTTCTAGCGGGCATTTCCCCCGTTTCTCTAGCTTCATTCCCATCAGGACCTACACACGCCTTTACGGCGGTGGAAACCCCGGGCCACGCCTCCTCCGCGCCGCCACCGCGCCCCCTGCTGGCTCCGTGCCACACAGCAGGGTCGGAACGTCTCACCCAGCTGCTGAATTGAGGCTGAGCAGGGAGAGCTGTCTGACGAGTGCCAGACTTGTAGCTGGTGCTTAGTAAATGCTGAACTAAGGAGTGATAGTACTCTCTTGATCGTAAGGATAAGTACATAGTTTTGTTTTAAAACAAGCAAACCAAACATGTAGATAGACACTAAGATTAACCACCTCCAGTTTGGAAGATGTCATCTGCTGATGGTCTTTTATCTTCCTCTCACTGAATCCGCTTTATTCTCTCTTGTTTTGTTTATCTTTAACTATAGAGATTTTTGAACATAGGCAAAGTAGACAGAATAGATTAATGCCAGCGTATTCTTGATCATTGACCGTAAGTTAGATCTTCCAGGCTAACTGGAACCTGAACCTTCAGTGTCTCAGGAAATTTATTTTCATTGTCTGTTTCTCCTCACAATTCAAAAAGAATTATTTTCTTTCAGGCTTTATTCTGAAATGAACTGTCCTATTTTCTCCTGGGAAAACAATTTTTCTTTTTAAAATTTAATCATGAATAAGATATATGAAACCTTTGTTTGACTACAGGTAACAGAAACCCCGATTCACCAGGGTTTAGCTCATAGGGACTCATCTTCCCTGCCAGGAGGTCTGAAGGCAGGTGAGACCTGGGCTGGTACTGCCAGCCCTGCCATCCTCAGCATGTGGCCTTCTTCCTCATGGTCACAGGATGGCTCAGCTAGCCACAGCAGTCCAGGCACCAGGGAGGGGGAGGAGCAAGGGGAGGGGAGGGGAGCCTAAACCTTCCCCTGGGTGGTTCTGCCTTTCAGAAAGGGAAAGCTTCCTTCTGTATGGTGTAGGCCAGGACTATATGTTTTGTGGGTTTGGGGAGATGAGGAATCCTGTCATGCTTAGCTCTGCAGTAAAGAAGGATGGAGGAAGGGGCTGCAGTATTCAGTGCACCAGCCTGGGGAGGGGGTGTACCTCCAAGGACACAGATTTTGAGTTGATACAGATTCTCATTTTAATTTCATTTCCATATAAAATGGAACTTGTCTACATATTTGTGTATTTAGTGAATCATTCAGGTTAGATCTTTTTATATTACAAGATTGGACGCTTGGACCCTGAAGGGCTGCAGGGAGAAATTACTGAAGGCAGAGGTCAGCAAACTTCACCCTACAGCAAAGCCAGCTCACCACCTGTTTTTTTTTTTTTTTTTAGGGTTTATTGAAACACAGCCATGCTTATTTACTTACTTATTTCATCCTGTAACAACAGTGGAGTAGTTGTGGCAGAGACTGTATATGTGGCCACAAACCCGAAAACAGTTCCTGTCTGGTCAGTTATGGAAAAAACATGCCTACTTCTGGCCAAGGAAATGAGTGGGGCAGCCGAGGTCACGGAGACTGCTCTAGCCAAAGGCTGACGGCCAGACAAGGCGAGCCTCGACCACACGGAAGCAGAAAGCTGCCCCAGTGTATTTTGTTTATTCCATTTAACACAGAAGAACGTGCTACACTGGAGACTGGGGAGCTGACGGCATCTTTGACTGCCTATCGCAGGGTATTTCCTCAACTCACAGGAGCAGCTCGGAGTCAGGCACTGACAAGGGCTGTTGGATGGGGTGTGGGTCCTGTCCTCCAGTCTTTCTCATTGGCTGGCTGGGGTTGCTGACCAGTGCAGTTTTTGCTGGTAAGATGTATAAATGTTGCCTGGGCTTTTCAGCATCCCAGCTCATTAATTCATTTTTTTTTTTTTTTTAAGGTGGGGTTTCACCATGTTGGTCAGGCTGGTCTCGAACTCCCGACTTCAAGTGATCCACCCACCTCGGCTTCCCAAAGTGCTGGGATTACAGGCATGAGCCACCGCGCCTGGCCCTCCATTTAATTCTTTTAGGCATTTATTCAGCAGAGATTGACCATTTGCCTTCTTTCTCTGTTTTTTTTTTTTTTGGAGATGGAGTCTCATGCTGTCTCCCAGGCTGGAGTGCAGTGGTGCAGTCTTGGCTCACTGCAACCTCTGCCTCCTGGGTTCAAGCGATTCTCCTACCTAAACCTCCTGAGTAGCTGGGATTACAGGTGCCCACCATCACACCCGGCTAATTTTTGTATTTTTAGTAGAGATGAAGTTTCACCATGTTGGCCAGGTTGGTCTTGAACTTCTGACCTCAGATGATCCGTCTGCCTAGCCTCCCAAAGTGGTGGGATTACAGGCATGAGCCATCGTGCCCGGCCTGACTTGGTGTCTTCTCTCTATGAGGCATGGTGCTAGGTATTTTTCAGCTGTGCACAAAATCAGCAAAGCATGCCTACCCTGGTGAAGCTTACGTTGTCTTGGGGGAGCGACAGCAAGCATAAATAAGAAAATAGGACTGTATTAGGCAGTGGTAAATGCTACAGAGGCATACCAAGGCACTCCCTTTGTAGCATTGGCTGCTTTCAGAGAGCGATTGCAGCTAACCAACCGTAACTCCCTGTGACTCCTCACGTTTATTCAGGATAGATTTAATATCAGAGGTTCTAAGTCAACATGCTTGCGGATAATTAACATGGTTAAAAGAGTGGTTTTACGAATGATAAAAGCTTTAGGGAAGATGCTGTGTTTGGGGTGGGGGTGTCCTGTCAGGTAAGATCTATCAAGGACACCTTCTCTGCCAAGGTGATTTTTGAGCAAAGACCAAAAAGAGGTAGAGGTTCACCCTCCAGGTTCTTGGGGACGGGCGTACTGCATAGAGATGAGATGAACCGAGTTTGCCGGCATAGCAGTGAGGAGGCCCCTGTGACTGTAGCAGACAAGCAAAGGCAGAGGGAACTGGGCACGAGCTCTTATCACAATTCCAGGTCATTTTAGGGACTTTCGGCTCTGCTCCAAGTAGATGGGGAGCCAGGGAAGGGTGTCTGGCCAAAGAACAATGTAATCTGACTTAGGTGCTACTGTGCCCCTCTGGCCTCTGCCGGAAACAATCACAGTCATATTATCACAGTTATTCCAGGGCTAGGCTGGTAGCAGCAGAGGCAGAAGGAACAGGTCAGATTTTGGTTATATATTTACAAGGTAGAGCCAGTATAATTTACCAGTGAGTCAGACGCAGGGTAAAGACTGGCATCAAGGGCACTCCAGGGCTTTTGGCCACCGGATGGTGGCGTTGCTCTCAGCTGAGGTGGGCAGAGTTGTAGACAGAGCCGACTTGGAGGACCCATGGAGCTCCACATTACAGGTGACATTGGGAGTTTATGTCCAAACATACCAAACATAGGTGTCAAGTGGGCAGTAAAGTACAGGAGTCCCAAAGAAGGGCAGAGGTCAGGCTGGAGGTAAATTTGGTATGATATTGTGTTTAAAGCCATGAGACTGACTGAGACCAACGAGAGGAAAGACGCCTCGGGTTTGGGCCCCGGGCACCCCAGTTTGTGGAGGTTGCAGTAATGAAGGTGGCAGTGAAGGCACTGCCACGTCTCTCCCTGCAGAGAGTGGCCGGCTCTGATGAATTTGTGCCATGTGTCAGTGGGGTCTTGTTTCAACCTCATGTTTATCTGTTTTGTTTGTAGAAGGAAAAGAAACCTGTACAAATGATGTTTAAGAAATCTACTTTTAAGAAGACCTATATAGGAGAAATCTTTACCCAGATCCTGGTGCTTCCCTATGTCGGCCAGGAGCTGAATATGATCATCATGCTTCCTGACGAGACCACCGACTTGAGAACGGTAACTGCTGAGCCGAGAGCGAGGTGTGCTCGCGAGGGGATCACTCGGGGGTATCTGCTGTGGCTGCATTCTAACACAGATCCCTGCAGGCCATGGCCCCGCTGCTGCCAGCGTCCGGCATCACAGCGTCGCACGGGGCCCTGCTGGGCAGCAGCAAGCCAGGTCTTAAAGTCTTCCGCTGTCTCCCTCTAGGTGGAGAAAGAAATCACTTACGAGAAGTTCATAGAATGGACGAGGCTGGACATGATGGATGAAGAGGAGGTGGAAGTGTTTCTCCCACGGTTTAAACTGGAGGAAAGCTACGACATGGAGCGCGTCCTGCGCAACCTGGGCATGACCGACGCCTTCGAGGTGGGCAAGGCAGACTTCTCCGGAATGTCCAAGGCAGACCTGTTTCTGTCCAAGGTTGTGCACAAATCCTTTGTGGAGGTCAACGAGGAAGGCACCGAGGCTGCGGCTGCCACAGCTGCCATCGTGATGCTGCGGTGCGCCAGATTCACCCCCCGCTTCTGTGCCGACCACCCATTCCTTTTCTTCATCCAGCACAGCAAGACCAACGGGATTCTCTTCTGCGGCCGCTTTTCCTCCCCGTGAGGACAGGGCGGTCTTTGTGCGCAGCCCCTCTCCTCTCTGTCCTCTGTCACTCCACAGTGTGCCTGCAACCCAAGTGGCCTTATCTGTGCAGCGGGGGCAGTTCAGAAATAAAGGGAACAATTGTGGGATGGCACATTCACTGCGTGTTTGTATGTCTGCATGGAAGATGGTTCCTAGGATCTGAAATTGCTGCTGTCTGTGGGTCTGGGTTATGGTAGGAGGGCCTGTGATGACCACTTAGTCACCCCTGCTCAGAGGAGATGTTGCCCACCCCCCCCAGCCATGGGGACCCCATGACTTCACTGTGGGTAGACAGCTGCCCTCGCTTGGTGGTGTGACTCTTCCCGGGCACAAGGAGATAAATGGTGCTTCTCTGTCTCCTCTACTCAGTACTGGAGTCTCATCCCACTTCTAGGGAGAGAAGGGAGTGAAGTGGGGTGCTGCAAGGAGGTGCAGGGAGCTCAGCTCCAAAACGGCCACCAGCTGCCCGGAAGCCTGCACGGAGCGGGGGAGTAGGTGAACCAGACGAGGGTGACAGCAGTCTCCTGCCCCGTGGGTGTTTCTGCTTCCCTGGGGACTGGTGGATCATATACCTATTCACACACATACTGCCCGCTTCTGAAAATGTCAAATGATATTAGTGTTCCATTTATAGTAACAGAGTTTACAGCGACTTCACGAGTCAGCACCAGGTGCCTTTCTGTTTCACTCAAGTGTTACGGAAAAGACAGCTAAAGTTTCTGGGCCATTTGTGTTACTTGCTGGAAACGTGATCCCGGCACACAGCCATGCAGGAGCAGATGGACGATCAGGCTCAAACGCAGGAGCCGCACAGCGTTCCAGGGAGCCAGGAAGGACATCTTTGGCAGGCAGTGGAGCCTGACCCCTCCTCCTTTACCTGGTGCACTTTCCCTTAGTATCCAGGCTGGGGTGACAGATAAGAGTCAGGAGCAGCAGGAGACGCGGCAGGGATGAGTGGGAGAGCAGGGGCAAGAAGGGCTGGGTCGCGCTGGTTTTGTCCCTCATATTCCCTCCTCTGCACAGCATTTTTTTTTTTTTTTTTGAGACAGAGTATCTCTGTGTCACCCAGGCTGTGCAGTGGTGTGATCTCGGCTCACTGCAACCTCCATCTCCCAGGTTCAAACAATTCTTCTACCTCAGCCTCCCAAGTAGCTGGGACTACAGGCACCCACTACCATTCCTGGCTAATTTTTGTATTTTTAGTAGAGACGGGGTTTTGCTATGTTGGCCAGGCTGCTCTTGATCTCCTGACCTGGTGATCCTCCCACCTCGGCCTCCCAAAGTGCTTGGATTACAGGTGTGAGCCACTGTGGCCAGCCTATTCTTGGTATTTTTTAAAGAATGGGGACAAGAGGACTTGGAACAAGGGCTCCGAGGGTGGGGCAGGATCCAGTTATGTGATGCTTCGAGCACCACAGGGAGGGCCTCGGCACTGCAGCTGGCAGCCACCGCCCTGTGTCCGGTTCCTGGAGAGAGGCACCAGCTCCACATCCTTGCTTGGGGTCTGCTTAGAGGCAGGGATGGGGGCAGGGAGTGGGGTAAGTGGAATTGTCTGACCATCCAGGTTTCATGGTGTCATTCCCTTTCCTCAGGGTAGGGCTGTATCAATAGTGTGGAAAGATGAACATTCAGGGTCCCATGTGTTACTGACCTTGACAGGGGAGGAGAACAACCAGCACCATGAAACCCACTCTGGGAGGCTCCCAGGTCCCCACTGAATTACCGCCCTTTAGCTGTCTGTGACATCACTTTTGAAGGGTTATCTGTCATTCTTAATTTGATGACATTACAGTAAAAGGCACAACCATTTGAGTAATCCCTCTACATCTTTTATGAAATGGCATAAGAAGACATTGGGGTGATTTTGGTTTAATTTTTAAATTTTCCATTGTGAACATGCGTTCTTGTGTAATCAGAAAAATATTTTTATTTATTTATTTATTTTGAGACAGAGTCTCGGCTCACTGCAACATCCACCTCCGCGGTTCAAGTGATTCTTGTGCCTCAGCCTCTGACGTAGCTGGGATTACAGGCCTGCGCCACCACATCCGGCTAATTTTTGTATTGTTTTTGTAGAGACACGGTTTCACCGTGTTGGCCAGGCTGGTCTCAAACTCCTGGCCTCAGGTGATCCACCCATCTTGGCCTCCCAAAGTGCTGGGATTACAGGAGTGAACCACTGCACCCGGCCAAATTTCTGCTTTCTTAATTAAAACCCAGAACCTCCTAATTTAGCTGTTAGAACACAGCCTCTTGGTGGTCAAGGGCAGCTGGGGATTTAGCTCCTTAGGCCCTCCTGGGCTTGTCCCCCAGCCCCTGCCTCTGTACGCAGGGCAGCAGATGCATGCTCATGAGACTTTGCTAAAAGGTGAGGGGCTGCAAAGGAAGTGAAGGTTGAAAGTTAAGTGCTATGGCTTCTCAGTGAACCTGGAGGCCATTAAAAATACCCTTTTCAGAAATAACACTTCCTTTCCCCCTTGTTCTTAGATGAAACAGATAACTGCACAGCAGAAATCTGATTAAAGAACAACCTACAATTTTTTCTGAAAACATAGGCAGAACTTGTGATTTTATTTTTTCCATATGTGAACCCTGTTGTGGGTGAGCAGCACCTATCAGGGCCAGTGGTGCTGAGGGAAAAGAATTTCCCAAGAGAGTTGTATGTTAAGAAAGGCAGATTTATTAGAGAAAGTAGGATATACATCATAAGGTCGAAATGGGCAGAATCAGCAGGAGCAGAGCTGACTGCAAGGGAACGAAGGTTTGCTGAGGATTTTACAGGGTGGTTCTCGGTCTGATTGATAACGCTAAGGCAGCAGGCAGCTCACTTGCATTCTTCTGTCAGCCGAGGTGTTTGATGACAAAAGCAGGAAGTTTGTGAGTTATGTACATTATTTGCGCAGGAGGGCCGTATGTCCTGGGCCATAAAGAAAAGCAAACCTATAGCTTATAGCTTATCTACTTTCCTTTGCTTTCCCCGGTCCTGCCAGCCTGACTCCTTTTCCCTCATTAGGACTCCACAAACAACTACATGGCACCTACACAGTAGTTAACACTTATTGAAGGCTTCACTTTCCAATGTTTCAGTTGCCCATGGTCCAAAAATATGTGACTACAGTATTGTGTGTGTGAGAGAGATGATATTTACCTAACTTTTTTTTGAGACAGAGTTTCACTCTTGTCCCCCAGGCTGGAGTGCAATGTTGTGATCTTGGCTCACTGCAACCTCCACCTCCCATGTTCAAGCAATTCTCCTGCCTCAGCCTCCCTAGTAGCTAGGATTACAAGTGTGCACCACCACACTTGGCTAATTTTTTAAATTTTTAATAGAGACGGGGTTTTATCATGTTGGCCAGGCTAGTCTTGAACTCCTGATCTTGTGATCCACCCGCCTTGGCCTCCCAAAGTGCTGGGATTACAAGCGTGAGCCACTGCACCTGGCCTATATTTACATAACTTTTATTACAGCATGTTATTGTAAACCAAAAATAAAATTCTAAGCCCACCAACCAAATGGACCCCTCCTCTTGGCCAAGGGCATTCTAAAGTAAACCTGAAACATGAGTTCAGGCCATGATGTGAAGTAGGGAGGAAGGGGGGTCAGACATGCCTCAGTTTACCTTCCTCCCTTGTTGAGATTCACTCGGGGTGGCTGGCAAAATACTAGGGAAATATTAAAGAAAGTTAGAAGATTATAGTCTCAAACCTTTTGGAAGGCCGAAAGGTTTTAATGGAATGGGCTGAAGGCAGCCAGCTCATTATGTTAGCACAGGGTAAAAGACAGGGACAATAAAGGCTTCCCGGTTAAGTCTGGGAAGCCCTTGTCTCCACTCTAATTTGTTTGCTCATGTAAATTTAGTGCTGGATGGTCTTCTCAGGGGGAGATCAAAGGAGAGTTACAAGTTAATGCTGTTGACTCTGGACCCTGGAACCTAAAGCTTTTATCATTCTTAAAACCACTCTTTTAACCATGTTAATTATCCACAAGCATGTTGACTTAGAACCTCTGTTATTAAATCCATCCTGAATAAACGTGAGGAGTTACAGGGAGTTATGGTTGGTTAGCTGAACTCGCCCTCTGAAAGCAGCCAATGACCATCCCTAGCCCACTCAGATTCATGGTATTCTAGTGTGTGTGAGTGTATTCATTCATCTGTCACTGAGTCGGGGTTTGTAGGACGGACCTTTGCAGGTGGTGACTGACATCTCACTCGCTTTGGAATTCAGGCACAGCTGACCAGCATTACATTAAAACAGACCTTAACACTAACAAAACAGACTCTACCTAGCAATAAGTACTAACATGACAGATAACAGGCCCTGAAAGAAATTGAAGTATTTTGCCCCAAAATATATTTCTTTGGCCTATTTTGAAATGGCCTTGCAAAGCTGCCTCTTGTGGGAAAAATCTACATTCTGTAGAGAATCCCTTTCCCTTTCTGGGTCTTTCTCCTGATCCAAGAGAGTCTGATAAGGGACATTTACAACCAATTCCCTCTGTAGCCTGCTACCTGGAGGCTTCATCTACAGAATAAGACCCTTGGTCTCCACATCCCTTATCTTAACCTACACATTCCCTTCTATTGACTTCAGATCTTTAGATAAACTTTCAACCAATTTACAGCCAGAAAATCTTAGAATCCACCTATGACCTGGAAGCCCCCCACACCACCACCTTGGGCACATGTTCCAGAATCTCCTGGGGCTGTGTCAGGTGCCATGGTCGCTCACATTTGGCTCAGAATAAATCTCTTCAAATACTTTACAGAGTTTGACCATATTCAATTTTATTGCATATATTATATTGCATATGAGTTTAACTCATATTTTATGATGAGTTGTTTTTAATCTCTTACTGTGGCTAATTTATAAATTAAACTTTATCATGGTTATATATGTATAGGAAAAAAACACATACATATAGGATTCAGTACTATCCATGGTTTCAGGCATCCACTGGAGATCTTTGAACATGTCCCCTGTAGATAAGGGGGGGCCGCTGTGTATTTCTATATAATGTGCCACATATGCAGTGTAGCCAAAATGGGAAATCTGAAAATGAAAGGGGGAAAATGAACATAAGGTTTTATTTATTTACTTTTAGAGATGGGATCTTGT